CATAATGTTGCACCTCATGGGTTTCATTTGCATCTCCTGTAACTCTTATCTTCAAATTTCTCAACACATTTGTTAGCATTTGTGATATTTTTAAAAGCTTATGTTTAACATTTGTTAGCAGAACTGTATTGTTAAGAAGTTGAATTCCACTCGGAGTGATCCAGAATTGTACTGTTCACTGATGAACAGCTGTGTTACACAAGTATTGTGATGACAAAAACTGTTACTCAGCAAGCCCACCAGGTTTACTGGTATGTTCACACAACACAAGCAGTGTTAAGGGATGTAATCACATGTTAAATTTCTCAAGGTGGTTAGGTAACTTTGTTGACTATATTAATAATCCTTTTCGGAGTACCTTTTACAGCTTCCATGCTTAAATTAAAGCAGTGCCGTTCGTAAAGAGTAGAACAATGGAGTGTGGCTTTGGCTGATTGTTTTCTCTGTTTGCTTTTTTTGATAAATTAATTAAAATACCATATTAACAGCCCTGTGTAGAGTGATATCCATTGAAATTGTGGTAATAAAATAATTTTATCATCCCCTCTTCTTTATTAATTTGGCTTAGCATATATGCCACTGTTTATGGTTCATTCATTGTATTGTATTGGCAACTTTTTTAAAAGGTGTAGCTGTGAAAGGGATTCAAAGGTTTCAATCATGTGGATTCTTTATTAATTTGGCTTAACATATATGCCATTGTTTATGGTTCATTCATTGTATTGTATTGGCAACTTTTTTAAAAGGTGTAGCTGTGAAAGGGATTCAAAGGTTTCAATCAAGTGGATTGCATGAAAGAAAGTATTTCACTCAAGAACAGTCTATAGAGCCTCAATTTGATCTTTACATCGAAGAACCTTAATGGGATCATTTAATTGAATGTATAAGTTGGAATTTTATATTGAGAGCTGGAAAGGCCGTGAGAGTTCACTTCTTGCCAGTGCTGTTTATATCATTGCATATACCTGTCCCTTTTGCACTTGCAGTAAAGCTGTGGTTAACTAAGGGTTGCATATTCTTAAGAATTAATACTGTATGTGGGTGGAGTGGAAAATCAGTGCAACTTCTTTTAACCTTGCCTCAAGGTGACCTCTGGTTCTTTTTTCATTCCTGTGAACTACTTTATGTTACAGAACAGAATGTGATATGTTTCGAATGAATATAATCAGTAGCTTAAATCTTACTTTTCCCATAATATTTTTAAACTGCAGTACAGTAGTTTTCAATATCTTATGTAAATTGGCCTGGAAAAAAGTATAAAGCTGGGAAACATCTGATAATGTTAACAATGGTAGACAATTTTGTTCCTGTGCCAGAATGAAGAATGGGGGATTGGCATTACCAAACAGTACATTTGATGACTTTAAATGTATTTTAAAAATAATCTTACAGTTGGCTGCTTTTTATCATTTTCTTCATTTTTTTATATTTAATTGTTGCAGAAATGTTGATAGGACTATGAGATAAGATTTGAACACTAAACCTTATGAAAAACAGAACAAAACAAAAGCAAAGCAAAGAAGAAGAAGAAAACCTTTGAGGCCAGGGTTCTGTTGTGTTATCATCAGTTAAATCGTATAACTCAGCTTGGCAAGTTACCAGTAGCAAAAAAGGGGATGGTTGTATTATTAAATGCATGCTTACTCTACAGTTGGTACGTCTCTTGATGTGCATGTAGTGCCTCATTTCAGCATAGGGCAGTATGCGGTTTCTAGTTACGCATGCATGAATCACCAATACGATTGTGACCCTAGTCTTTAGGGATGTGGAATGGGAAAATGTTCAGGTTTCATTTATTTTTGGCTCTTTTAGGGGGGGTGCCTCAGGTGCCAGTCATGTTTATGGCACTAGACCAAATAAAGCCCTATAGAACTCTCAAAGCTGTTGCTGAAAAGCAGGGACAAGGCAAAAGACAGGCATCTACTCCAAAAGCGGGCAACAACAAAGTACACGAGAAGGTAAAAATCAATCATCTGGTACCTTAAAGTGTACATTTGTCATCATATTAGCAGGACGGGGAGGCAGAAACAGTACAGATGAGAAGAAAAATCATCATGATGATCATCATAATCAGACATACATAGGATGACACTTCTTTTCATCATCATTGCCAGCAGTGATCATGGCAGGCTCTTGTCAGTGCCTGGTGTTAACCATACCAACCACAAATTCTTCTCATATCATATAAGAACCTTTGGGGCACAAGAGAGGGTGCTGTTTCACTTTAGAAATGGATGGAGAGATTTTGTGTACGTGAGTTAAACAAAGGTAATCCATATGAGGAAATCTAAGTAAAATCCAAAATTTGAGGGTTCCTCTCACTTAAAACAAATGATTCAGATTTCAGACTGTCATTTGGAATTGAATGAAAGAATTTAAAAAAATTTAAAATCCTATTTTGTGTTATTTTTCATTATTTGCAACTCCAGAGTCCTATTTCCAGTAGTCTTTATAATGTCACAAGACTCTTTCGTGGTTTGTGCTGGAACAGACTAAGATGGCTATCCCTCTACAATTGTTGAAATTTGATTTGTATGCAAAATTGAAATCCACGCATAAACACAATTATAGTAACATACATGTACTGTAATGATTTTTGCTAATTGAAAAGATAATTTGACATTTATTTTCCATACAATCAAAGATGGAAGTACAGTAATATAAACAGTAGTCTACTGCTTTGCAGACATTGTTACACAGCGATACAAATGGATATGTGTAGTAAATTTCCAGAGAAATGTGTAACATTTTATCCTCTTGTATTGTACTGGGCACTGTTAGTTGGTAAAAGACACTCATAATGCTTTGTGAATTTGATACTGGGACTGTTTGCTTCTGTTTCAATTAAGCACGATTCCACATAAAAGCAGAGCAGAGGTTAATGATAACGGGTAGTTGTGGAGGGTATGCTGGAGCAAAACAGTTCTCTGTGTTGCTTATGGTGGAGCAAATCTATTAGTTGTTGTGAAGATTTTCAGTGTGTCACTGGAGTCCATAAAAAAGTTGGGGCATCAGAATTGTTGGGCCAATGCACACAATCAACTTGCTGAATGAAGCAGTTTTCACCATGGCTTTGTTATAAGCTACCATTATTTGTTTTTAATTTTAGTTTTGTTTTCTATTTGTTGGTTGGTTTCTTTGTTTTGTCTGTGTACTCATAATTACCTGAGCAGAGGGGCTTTAAAAGGATACAAACTCTCCCCCAACACATAAATATGAGCAATAAGAAGTATTGATAAATGCATTCTTAAGTCATTCATTTGCACGTTCAGATCCTAGGGCAATGATTCCCAACCTTGGATAACCCAGGTGTTCTTGGACTGCAAATCTCAGAAGCCTTTACCACCCACTGTGCTAGCTAGGATTTCTGGGACATGTAGTCCAAGAACACCTGGGTTACCTAAGATTGGGAACTATTGTCCTAGGGAATACAGTGATCATTTGAAATACCAAAAGTCTGCTCTCTCAGCTCTGTTGCTATTTGCAGCAAAGAAAAGCAAATTAGAACCCCGTGCCTGGTTTATAAAGAAGCAAAGTCACAGGTGGAGCTGATGTTCTTGACTATTTAGCTGTTCCTGCTAAACCGTCTAATATTTGTAAAGCTCTAATTTGAACTATATTGCTTTTTTGTGGTCCCCCCCTTTTGTATATTCCTCATCATATGCTTTAACTACAAGCTGTGCCATTCCCAATTAACATACATTGCTTTTCAATTTCAGGGACAGGTACTTTTGGACGGGTTCATCTGGTGAAAGAAAAATCAGCCAAAAACTACTTTGCCTTGAAAGTAATGAGTATTCCAGATGTCATCCGACTAAAACAAGAACAGCATGTGCACAATGAAAAATCAGTCTTGAAAGAAGTTAATCATCCATTTCTGATCAGACTGTAAGCTTACTCTCAGTTTAGTTTTTGTCCCTTGCTATTCATGTCTAATGTTCAATTTTATGTTCAGATTCATCTAAACATCTTTAGATGGCAAAGAAAAAACTTGCTTTCCACTTTTGTTACAGAACTAGCTCTCTCTCTCTCTCTCTCTCTCTCTCTCTCACACACACACACACACACACACACACACACACAGAGTCCCCCACCTTTCCTACTCTCATACAACAGAGAAAAGATGAATGTGGGAGACACTTAATATGCAGCATTACACACAGCATGGTGTAGTTTTCTTGCTGTTATTGATGATAATGATGTTTCTTTCACTCCAAAGTAATGTCCATTCAGTTTGTAAACCTTGTTTATTTGGACCAGCTACTCTCACTTTCTTCAGACGACATGGCCACAGGCCTTTCTGGCTGTGGAATTGTGAGATCTGTGGGTCCCAAAGCAGTTTCTTTTACATGCTCTGCTGTTTCCTAAGGCAAAGATGCTCATAAACTGTGTCACATCTGACTTGCCCGCAGCCCCGACACACGAAAAAGAATATATGAGCTATGAGCCATTGATAGTGGTGTATTGACAGAAATTGCCACCCTTCAGAAAAGAGTGCTTACTATTCTTAATAATAGGCCAAAATCCTTTTGGTTAATTTAGTAAGCCACACTAGATTAGGCCTATTGAATTAATGGAGATTTGGTGAGTCACATCCTCCATAAATTCAGTTGATTGAGATGGGCCTGCACTAACTGGGATTTATTATGTTACCAAAAGTCAAAATTAGAGTAGGCCCCTTTGAATCAGTTGAACTTACTGAGGTGACTTACCACATACCCATTGATTCAATGGTTGTACTCTAGTGCAATGTACTACAATAAGCAACAGGATTTTTGGCCACAATGTGGGTCTCATGGTTGAGTGGTCTAAAAACATTCATGAGATTTTTTAGAAACACTTAGCTTTGAGATGCGTAAATTTAATCAGAATTTTTCAGAGTAGTGCAGTTAAGGTACCACTGAATTCCACTCTTCTTTTTGTGTACTCTCAGGCTACATTTGTCATGACATTAGACTTAAATTGTGAGTTTTTGCCACTCCGAGATGTCATGCTAGGACCTCTCCATTTATTGAAAGAGTCTCTGATGCAGCAGATGATCATATTGCAAACAAAGGAAATGTTATTTTTGTCAATGCTGCTCTTTCCCTGGTACCCATTGCCACACTGTTCCAGAACATCCCCTAACTTTTTAAAACAGGTTCATGGGTTGCAGGGGGGATTTATATGTTTCATCTTTATCTCTTAAATCAGTGGGAGGATCTTGTGAAAAGAGTTCTATGAACAATTGTGGCATGAATTGCTGATATCCTTTTGTTAGATGTAACATTATATTGTTGTTATATTTTTCCATGGATACACCCATGGCTCTGTATGTTTTTTATACATCTTTAAAAAATTTTTATTTTGAATTATGCATGCCCATGTTCTTCCAAGTGCTGAATATGGAAATGTTATGTAAGTTGGCAATAGTCTTTATTGCAAAGGAATAGGTTTGGGGTATGTTTCCCTCCAGGAAAATATGATATGAGCACCCAGAAGTATTCAGTACTGGTTGTTGTACTTGGTAGTGTGTCCAGTTTCTTGAAAGACCACACAGTCAAATCCTATCTTATTGAAACAGTGTGAAAACTTTTCCTGTATATATTTTAGTGCTTGTTTTGAATGTTTTGTGGTAATGGGTGGAGTAATGAACAACACCGGAATGGCAGAATTTCACAAGTGAGTGTAGATAAAAACAAAGGGGTGTGGGTACGTATTGCAAAAGAAATTTCAGCACAGCAAGACTTCGCCCTGATACGCTGAAGGAGAGGAAGAGAACAAAGACATGCAAGCTCATTCTAAATCGTACTTCCTGTCCAACAGTGAAGTCTCCACTGAATTATAATGCTAGAGCGTACAAAGGAAAACGGGGACAGTTGCACAAGCACCTCCACACACCCCATTTTAGGTGTCCTAAGTTAGTTTTCTGAGACCATTTGTTAAAGACTGAGTAATTATTAGGAGACATAATAGCTAAAGACAATCTAAAGCAAAGAAACACCTGGAGAGTATTTTTTTTGCTGAGAATTATAGGATTATCTCCTATGGTGGCTTTAAACTAATGCAGAAATATGTAGGTGTGTGCTCATCCAGATGTTGGACTCTATCCCTTAATCACACTAGATTAGGCCCATTGAATTAATGGAGATTTGGCTCTTGTGTCAGCGGAAAATGTGGACTAGATGTGAACTCTTATCTTTTTTCCCAGCCCACATTTTCAAGCAATTGAAGTTATACAACAGGTAGTAACTATATGTAGTGTCCTTGTGCAGCAGCTTCAGTGCTTCAGAGGAATATTCAGTGATCTTCATACTGGAAATGTTTGACACTTGATATGATGTCCGATGGCAGAGGTCCATGTAGCTGACCAGTCAAGGACACCTTTAAGTCCCCAGCCAGAGGGGGCTGTTATGCCATTCTTACAGACTCTTGCAGTCTGCACTTCTTAGCTGTCTCCCACTCTATCTCTCTTCTGCCCCTTTTCTGTAGTAATTATACTGTATCTGTGGGCACAGACCCTGAGTATTAACCCACTGTGGCCCCTGGTTGGCATCTGTTCATGTCCAGAAAATCCCAGAAGATTCAGTGCTGTGTGTGCCGTTTGTGCAAAGTTCAGTTCCTCCTTTTTGCTGAGGCTTTGTGGAAGTCTTCTTTAGGTTCAAACAGTGACACTTCTGTAACCTCAGTCATGAACCTAGGTCTGGTGCTGAGGCTGCCAAATATGGATAAATTAGTTGAACTCAACTCTGGGAGACAGTGGAAGACAGGAGGGCCTGGCGTGCTCTGGACACGACTAAACAACAGCAAAAAGCCTCAGGTGTTCAGATGATTGTCCATGCATGTGGTGCTAGTTTAAAATGTTGCATTCAATACGTTTAAAAAGTTACTTTTAAAGGAAAAACAACTCCCAAGAATCAGAGCAGTTGTAGTCCGAACAAGTAACTACTGTATTTAGTTTCTCACTATACTACACGTTTAGTACTACTACTGGAAATTATGTCACAAGTGTGTATGTCAGATCCTCAAAGATATAGTTTCTGCATTAATAGTCTTCTCTTTTTAGCATTTTTAACATCTGTAAATCTTTTCTTGCAGATTTTGGACTTACCATGATGAACGCTTTCTGTATATGTTGATGGAATATGTACCTGGTGGCGAACTTTTCAGTTACCTGCGCAACATGGGACGCTTTAATAACAGCACTGGACTGTTTTATTCTGCAGAGATTATTTGTGCAATAGAATATCTCCATTCAAAAGAAATTGTTTACAGAGACTTAAAGCCTGAAAATATTTTATTAGACAAAGAGGGGCATATCAAACTCACAGACTTTGGATTCGCTAAAAAGCTGGTTGATAGGTAAGCATTTTTACAATGGTTTTTAAGGGAGGGAAGGGGGACAGGTGAACTTCATATAGAACTGCTGTATCAGCCATAAAATTGATAAACACCTATAGGCTCAAATCATAGCAACACCAGCATGGGGTAATTTTTAGTAATTAAAAATTTCCTACTCCTGCTGCTTTTCTGGCTCATATGTAATCCATTTCAGGAGGAAATCTTTAATTATAGGAAATATTCCTATATCAGTAGCATCATTTAGCAATGGCAATTTGGGGGGAATTTGAGACTTCCTGTTTCAATCCCACAGCTTTCATGGTTTCTATACAATGAATAGGATTATACAGGAGTCAGAAAATCAGCAAGACAGAAGTAGGAAGTTTTTAATTACCAGAAATCACCCTGATTGCTGACACTGTCAACTTTGCATCTTGCAGTAGGTTATTCAACAAGATTTCAGTCTTAGATTTAATTCATTCGTTAACTTAGTTGTGTATATGCATGAGTACCCAGTTCTATTTTATTCTTCCTGAAGTTTATCTTCAGGGCAGCTTTACAAGCATGCAGTGTTAAATGCTAGTGTCTCTGTTATTCTAATAAGCAAGAATAAAACCATATAACACTATGCATAGTGGCCTCTCTGCGCCCTTCAGCTAGGTTCAGAATTGGTTCAACAATAACACATTTTTGAAGAGGGAGAAACACTTTTGTTTTCTGAAGTTCTCTTCCATTTTGTGTTCTTGTTACATGATGGTAAGATTTGATTGATGTCAGAAATGGCACTTAATTAATAAAACAGCCATGCTTCACATTCTGAACAAATCTATCTATAAAACAAAGTATACTATACAATTCAGCATCATTGATATTTCTGTGTACCAACATCAGAGGCAGAGCATAGTTCACTGGGAGAGCACACATATTGCATCTTTCTATACTTGCTTCCTAACAATCTCAGGTAAACATCTCAGGTGACAAACATGAGAAAGATTACTCCTTGAGTTCTTGCAACACTGGTGTCACTCAGGATTAACCATCCTGGATTAAATGGAACATTGGTTTGACTCTGAGTCACACAGCCCATTACTGTAGATCCATATCAAAAAATATCCAAGAAGGGTAGATTAGAAAGATTAGAAAATGTGAAATATTATAGTCATCATGGCTAATCAACTGCCTTTTCTCGTTTCATTTCCCCTGAAAGTTGGTGTGAACTGATACACATCTTTGCTCATCATGAGCCAAAACCAGTACATTACATAGTAGAAAAAAATATGAATGTTATTGTGCTGTATGGAACTTATTAATAATTTTCCTTCTGTGATATTTTCTCTTTCCACAAGTGCATTGGCAAGTTCACCATCGTAAATATATACAGTTTGTTTTAAAATATACCATCAAGGGCACATAATCCAGTGTGGTATAATGGATACAGTGAGGGAATAGGATTCAGGAAAACTGGGTTCAAATTACTGCTCAGCTCTGGATATTTATCAGGGCATGGCAGTCCTTGACTGCTCAGATCTGGATATTTATTAGGGCATGGCAGTCCTTGAATATCTCTTATTTATTTATTTATTTATTTATTTATTTGTTTGTTTGTTTGTTTATTTATTTATTTATTTATTATATTTCTATCCTGCCCATCTATTATTATTATTTATTTAACTTATATGCCGCCCACACTACCCGAAGGCCTCTGGGTGGTTTACAGCATTTAAAATAGTTGATTTATACCCCACCTATCTGTCATATACCTTGAAAACCCTATTAGGGTCATTGTAAGTTGAATACAACTTGACAGCATTTAACAAAGTATACTGAAACCGAGAGAAAAGCAGGAGTTCAAAATGTGCTGTTTGTCCCACAGTTGTGTTTTGTCTCAAAGATTTCTCAAAAGTTCAGAGTCAGGTCACCAAATATCATTGTTCACCCTTACATAACTTGAAAATCTTGTTTGTGTTTCCATAAGTTGGAAGTGACTTGATGGCACACGGAAACGACAAAGTGACCAGATCGCTATTTCTTAGAAAAGCAGTTGTACTGTTGCCATCACTAAGTATGAAACAGTGTTGTAAACTGTTACAGTAGATTTTACTCCTGTGTTATGCAGCATGTATTCCTGACAATATAGGTGGCGATCACCTTTCTGATCCCAAGGAAGAGGTGACAGCAAGCCATTATATGAATGCAATAAGTATTTTTTTAAAAATTAAGTACTGTCCAGATAATAATCTACACCCAAGTATACCAAGTATTATTTGCACAATGGATTGCTTAGAGATGTAAGATGCAGAGCCTTTGGCTTGGATCTGGCCAGCGAGACATTTTTCAAATTCATCTATTCTTTATTAAAGGTAAATAGGTGTTTAAAGTTTTACGACATAGAATAGCTTAATGCCTGGCAGGATTGCAGCCTGTTCTGGGAAGTTATGTTGATGGTACATTCACATCTCTCAGTGCCACCCACATGCAATTGCAAAGAATCTATGGCCTTCACACCTCCATGGTATTTTTCTTCTTAAGCACTGTTCATACTTACTTACATGATACATATCCTTGAATCCTGTTAATTGCAGCTGCCGGTTCAACTCCATCATCATAAATGTCTGAGACAAAATGCTACAAGTTAGATTTGATATCATGCATATTCAATCATATTTTAACTATTTTTGATTATTTCTTATTATATTATTGATTTGTTACTGTTATACTGTATTATATTATCTGTAATTATTTTATTGTAAATCACACAGAGTAATGGTTAGAAATAATTCAGTGGTATACAAGTATATTTATTAAATAAATAAATAGGATGACTTTTTAAATTGCAGTAATTTGCTGCTGAAATTTATGTGGCTTGAGTTCTGCAGATAGAGTGAAAATATATAATAGAAATCCAGCTTTTTTTTTTTTGATAAAATGTGATCTGCAGTTAAAAACTGTCCATTGTCTTGCAAATGATATTTTCTGTGTTTCCCAAGTTACAAGTTTCCTTGAAAATGTAATTTAAATTATTCAGTGAGAAGCCTAATAGTGGCAGACTGCCTGCTACTGTTGACCTTCCTTGACAATGTGCAGCTTGCACACATGAACTCTCAGTTCAAGTGTGAATCTGGTGAAGGCAAAAGATTGAGTAGTCGTAGCTGAGCTGGCTGTGCACTACAGAATATGTTCTGGAATCCTGCAGCGCACAAGGATTCTTCTGGAGACAAAATGATGGGAAAAAGTGGCCCAAGGAACTAGAAAAATAGAAAACAAGGTTTTCATTGAGTATGAGTATTAACAAAGTCATCATTGACAGATGTTGTTTTAAAGTACAAAGTGAAACCTCTACGCCTAAGGCAAAATTTCTGTATGCCCTCTTTACCTGCCTATTGTTCCATTGCTCTCTGGGTCTTCCTCTACAATTTGGAGGGCAAGAGGCAATATCTTGAAGAAACTAAATTACAAGGTCAGGAACCAAGGCGTGTATCCAAAAGTGGCTGTCTACTCACACAGTTCCAGGTTATGCAAGTTTTAACTTTCCAAAGCAAGTGCAAGGGGGCATTTGACACCTCCTTGCACAAATAGCTGTCCCTTATTTTCTGCTCTCTTTGCTTGGGAAACAAAGGAATCTGGTTTACATGCTGGGTGGGCCTTCAAGGAATAGCTCCACTCCCTGACAGCTCCTGATGGGGCGGATCAGAAGCTCCCAGTTGCCTCTGTGGATGTCAGATGAGTCAGCTACCAGGCTCCCTTCTTCATGCTGAGTGCAAAATCCCACATAAGTCCTCTGCATCTTGTCCTTAGGCTCTATGTATATTCTTAAACAGGGAGGAAGATGCATGATTAAAACAGTATGGTTTGTAAAGTTTTACTCATAGAGAAAGCCAGGCTGCTACTGATCCTGGCTCTATTTCATTACCAAGGACACTGTAGATGGATAGATTCCTGTTCTAAGCACAAAATAGCGTAATAAAAATGAAACAATTCATCTTCCAGTTTAAAATTGCTACGTGTTAACAAAAATTGAGTTTAATATCCATTGTACTAGTTTCCTAGTATATGTTGTTTTATGTCTGACCTGGTATGCATGCTAAATATTTCAATAACAAAAGAAATTATAGTCAGTGTGTGTTAAAAAAAACTTTATACATTGTCATTTTCTTAGTAGAACTGGAATTTTGCTGTAATACTGTTCAATACAGAGAAGAAAATCCATGTTTGAATCCTAAGTGCAAAAAGAAAACTAACAGATAACTGTTACCTACTGCCTTTTAGCAAAAAGGTGAAGGCCTTTGGACTATCTGCTCTAGTATGTTCTTAGCCTTTCTGGAATAACTATTGACGCACATTGTCTCAGGCATTCCTTTCTCCTGCAATTGTGACTGTAGATTTCAGTGATTTATTGTGGAGCTGAGAGGAATAAAGTGGGAGTGTAAATGACAAGAGAGCAGTTGATGTTTGACTCACACTGATGACAACAGATTGTAGCACCCTTGTATGTTTGTTTTTGAAGAGTATGCATGTGATAACATGTGCAAAAGCAAAGAAGACTTTCCTCCTGCTGTTGGATCTCTGAAATGCCATAAAATAGATTTCTTCTAGACTATGAGTGACCTGATAAAACTGGGCTATCACTACCTGGAGGTTGAAGTATCGTCTGCCAGCTGCTTTGCAGACTACAGCTGCAATCCTGTGCATGCTTTTTCAAACGTATTTCCACTGAAAACAATGAAACTAACTTCTGAGAAGCAAAAAATTACTCTGTGAATCATTTACATGTGCTTTTTCATTACAGTTTGAGGCAGGCTGAAAGCTAACATAAAAAGGGCTAATGACACATCTACATGATCACCAGCCTACATTTACAAATGCCTTTACTGTGTCTTCTCTACTCCCAGCTCAATTTTTTCACCTCCCAGCTGAGAAAACTTTACAAAATGCCCTGAAGCTGGATATCCAAACAAGCTTCACATCCTCTTCCCATCTCTGGCACCTGGCTAGGGAACACTCAGAGCTTGAAAGTAACCAGT